ATATTTTGTACATTTGTATATGGAAGAACTGGATTAATACCGCACCTTTAAAAATGTGTTATAGTCAGATATGGTGTCTAGATAGCATAGAATTATAAATTAAACAAATTTAAAAGATGACACAACTTCATCAGGTGGATACCCCTACAATTAGTGATATTTTTATCTGTATATATTTTACCCTACCTTCTTCTTAGTTTGTCCATTTCGGATTTTACAATCAGAGACGTGTCTAAACTAGTAGTATGCGATGTCATGAAACAAAAAAAATTCATGACTAGAATGCATTGTTTCATCAATTGTGTACCCTCGCTCTTAGATATATTTTTCTCCGTAACGTTTGTAATATTTTCATAATACACATGCCCCCCCCCCACGTGGCGCAGCGGTATGTCTGCGGATTTACAACGCTAGAATCCGGGTTTCGATACCCGTGATGGGCAAAGCACTGATAGCCCATTGTGTAGCTTTGTGCTTAATTACAAATGAACAAATAAGTAAACATAATACACACTTATCTTACTCAATAAAACACAAAATTTCTTGTGAAGCTTTGGTAATAAAGTGACACCTAAATGTCAGTTGTTAAATTAATCAGTGTTTTTGTTCGTTACTTATATTTGTAACAATTGGGGAATGTTTGTGCTATGACTTAAACATCAAAAGCTGGCAAAACATTGGAAGCTAATTGAACTATCGTTTGTGATAATAATCACTGAAAACTGTTGATTTTTCCAGACATTCTTCTTAATTTGAGCATTGTGGATTTCAAGATCAGAGGTGTGAATAATATCACCTCAAATCTACCTTTTGTGTGATTTAAAGTCCGATAAGTTGTTGTTTTCTTTTGGCAAAACTACACAATGGGCTATCACCACTTTCTCCGCCGCAGGTAATTAAAACCTGTAATTGTGGCGTTGTAACTCCGTAAGCTCAACATAACATAATATTTAAGGACAAGATGAGACCTATTGGTCCATCTAGGCTATTCCATGCACTAAACTACACTAAACCTATTAAAAACTATCCTCACAGCCAGTCATTATCATTCATATATTTATCAAGCCTTCCGTTGGACTGCCTCCACCACATCCGAAGGTAACCCACTCCAAAGGCCAACTACTCTGTTACAAAACCTTTACTGAAGATGGCTTCTACCTGACGAAACGTATATTTGTCTCCCCTAGTCCTACCATTTTCATCATTAGGTATGAAAAAATATATTGCATCAACACTACCAATTCCTTTAACAATCTTAAACAAGGCAATCAAACCCCCTCTAACCTAAAATCCTATTTGTCCTACTACAAGCAACAGTACATTGCTTGTATGGCTTAATAAATTGATCAACAATTACAACAGGATCCTTTACTTCCATATCACTGTTAATATTATTCCCATCCAAATTATATTATAATTCAAGTTATGATAATCCACACGCATTAAATTGAATTTATTATATTTAAAACCCATCAGCCATTTATTCGTCCAACTCACTAATCTAAATCTTTTTCTATAGCACTCTTCTTTACACAGCGAGTAACACCCAAGACCTTAATATTATCAGCAAACTTAAGTAATTAATTAATCATTCCTTCATCTCTGTCATTGATGTAAATAAAGAAAAGCGGGGGTCCTAAGACTGAGCCTTCAGGTACCCCACTTGTTACATTAATCCAGAATGGCTGAACCTCATTTATAACAACTCTTTGCTTTCTTCCATCCAGTCACTCTTCTATACAATTAGCTAACTTATCCCCCACAACTGTAGAGACATTTTAACCTGGTGTAATGGTACTTTGTAAAACGCTTTCTGAAAATCCAGATGCACCAAATCTATACTCTTACTATCAACTACATAAAAAGCAACCTTTTCAAATCATGTTAAAAGATTTGTAAGGCAAATGAAACTTCCCTCTTTATCTTAACAAGCTCAGAGTTAATATCTTGTTTCCATGTATCAACTCTTCAGGATGAAAAATATCGCATAAATCTTTATTACTAAACCTGAAGAAAAGGAACTTAATAACCCAGTCATCTCATATTCATCAGATATGAACGTTCCTGTACCATCCTTCAAAGGCACTCACGGTTTGACTTTAAAATTTCCCATTCTATGTGGCTGAAATTAATATCGCCCACAATTATGACCTTACTAACACTGAAATCTGTCTCTCACTGTAACGTTTCTCAATAATTTCATCATTATCATCTGGTGGTATGTAACAAATTTCCACTAAAGGCCTTTATCCAAATGAATTCAATCTTCTTACTATTATCTTTGATATCCTCAACGTCAAGAAGATGTAACTCACATTTTACATATAAAACTACTCCCCTCTCTTTAGTTCTCTATTCGTATTAAATCAACTATACCCCTTTATTTGAAAGAAATTTCTGTCCTTAAAATTGTTGTAGTTAAATACGTTTTAGTTACTCACCTTATATCAAAATCCTCCGTTCCCACCAATGCTATAATGTTATCTATTTTATTTCTTATACTACGACCATTACAATAGCAACACTTAAGTCTACCCTTAGAACTACTTTTTCTTATGTTATACTTTTCTCTAAATGAATTTCTTTCTGAATTTTGTTTGTCCTGACCCTCATCATAGTATGGTCCTAGTTTAAAACTTCCTTTACAGATGAATTAATAGCTCTTGTAAACAAGCCAG